ACACTCAACCGACTGAGCCACCCAGGCGCCCCCCAAGTAGTGTTTTAAGAGAGCATTTTATCATAGATGACTTTCCCCAGAGTCATGACTAGGGGGTTATTCCTCTGTATCTTGTGTTCTCCTTTAAGGAAGAGATGCAGTTCAGAGGCAATTAATCAGGCCTTTTGTTTTTCCCTAGGACCTCTATCACATGATCTTTAACATATTTGAAACACAATATATTTCAGTTACTCTGCCCAGCCTATCTTGAATCACTCCCAGCTAATCATTAATTTAGGGTTGGTTTTGGAGGGGGGGGGGGTAGGGAATAAAAAGACTTCAGTCTGTAACCTTTTAGCCTAAATATTGTACAAAAAATGATACTAATCTTTTAAATCTCTAAAAATATATGTTAGCTAAGAATACATTCCTGTTGTCTTAATTTGACCATTACCTGACCATTTGACCTGTCATTTGTTCAGTAGCCATGAATATTTCTTCTGTGAATAGACTGATCTTCTCCCTTCCCCTACTTTATGTTGCTTGTTTTGTCTTTCATTATAATGTAATTATAACATTATTACTAATTTCTAGGAGTTCTTTTCTTTGATTGCTGTTATATATTACAAATATTTCTTCCTGCTTGTTGGTTTGCCTTTTGACTATGATTATGGTGTGTTTTGCTATACAGTATTTAAATTTATATGTGGTTAAATTACACTTTTTTTTTTTTTTTCTGACTTTTGGGTTTCTTATCTTGCTCAGGAAATCCTTTGTCCCAAGGTGATGTTATTCTTATACTATGGTCTTTTTTATTCTAGTGACTTCTTAACCTTCCTTTCTCCTATCTTTCTTTCTTTCTTTCTTTCTTTCTTTCTTTCTTTCTTTCTTTCTTTCTTTCTTTCCTTTTAATGTTTTTTTTTTTGAGAGAGAGAGAAAGAGAGAGATTGAGAGAGAGAGAGAGAATGAGTTGGGGAGGGGCAGAGAGAGAGGGGGACAGAGGATCTGAAGTGGGCTCTGTGCTGACAGCAGAAAGCCCGATATGGGGCTCTAACCCATGAACCATGAGATCATGACCTGAGCCAAATCAGACACTTAAATGACTGAACCACCCAGGTGCCTCCTTCCTCCCTTCCTTTTCTTTCTTTCTTTCTTTCTTTCTTTCTTTCTTTCTTTCTTTCTTTCTTTCTTTCTTTCTTTCTTTCTCTTTCTTTCAATATTTACCTCTTTAAACCCTCTGAAATTTACGTTTTGCTTCTGAGTTGGGATCAAATTTTATATTCTTCCATATTTTATATTCTTCCATATTCCTTATAGCACCTAATCCTGGCTCAGTGAATTGTACCCATTGAAATTTTCTTCAGTAGATCTTTTTCTTTCCTGGCATTTATCCCAGGACAATGATCCAAGGAGGCTGTTAATCTGCCTTTCTCCAAAGCTTTCCTATCTGGCTTCCCCATGACCTTCATCAGTCATCCTGTCTCCTCTGCCTGTGTTCTCCAACTTTCAGTGTTCTCTACATCAGCTTTCATATTTGCTTTCATTAATCTCTTTCCTTTAGAGCAAGGGTCAACAAACTTTTCCTGTGAAGGGCCAGATAGTAAGTACTTTAAGACTTCGCAACTACTCAACTGTGCCTTTGTAGTACAAAGGCGGCCATAGATAGTAAGTTGGGAATGAGTGTGGCTTTGTTCCAAAAAACCTTATTTCTGGACAGTCCAATTTGAATTTCATATGGCCTTCCCGTGTCAAAAACTATATTCTTGATTTGATTTTACCTCAACCATTTATAAAGTGTAAAAACCACTCTTCACTCCTGGCCATATAAAAACAGGTGGTGTGCTGAATTTACCCCTTGGGTGAGAGTTTGCTGATCTCTGCTCAGGAGCCACAGCAAGGGATCAGATTCTTTGCTTTCATCCTGGACTGTCCCTGTTAAAAAAGGTGCCGCAGGTCTCAGGAATGCATCTCTAAGCACCTCCCTTCTTTGAACCAAACTTAGTAAATATATTAACATATTTAAAATAATACATTTCAGTTATTCAGGCTTCCAAATTCTGGACTAACTCACCATCAGTACATGACTTTAGAGTTATTTTCAGTGGGTATTACACTGTTCCCATGTTCAATTCCGTGTGAATGTTATATGAAAATCTTTTCTTTTGGAAGGCGATATCTACTCTACTATGGGCAACTTAAAACATTTTAATTTATTCACAGCCTTAGAGACTACTATTACAAGATCATTTGGGTATAGAATATATTTTTCTGGGAGCATAAATGCTATCTTTAGAAAAAAAATTTTTTTTGGTTACTACAATTGTTTTGGTAAAATGCCTTACATGCACTAAAAGGCTTGAAATTTTTGGCCTCCGATTATCTGTGTCTCTGCCACAAGAATCCCAAGTTGAGTGATGTAAGTCATAGCTTAATGATCTTTTGGGCCATCATCTTACGGTCCTTAAAAAAAAAAACAACGTAGACTTGTCCAATATCTTACAGGCTACAGATTACTTCCATAAGTAATTTTTTTTTAGTGATTTCAAAACAAATTAATTAATTAATTAATTAAAACATGTTTGCAACCTTAAAACCAGAAAATGTTAAGATTTTCATTGTTTCAACCCTGCCCACCACTTGCCTGACTCTACCTTTGGGGAGCAGGGAGAACAAAAACTATGCTGTTTGTTTAAACCAAATGCCAAATGGTTTTTAGATAAATTGCTTAGCAGTGAAAAATATGCTCTTCATCAACCATGAAGGGGAAGCTTCTTGAAAGTGCCAGATTGGGACAGGTACCAACATTTATTCAGTTCCTACTTTGCATCAGTTTAATTCTTATAACCCTGCAAGGGAACATTTATCATCCCTATGTTCAAAAGAAGCATTTCAGGCCTGGAAGGTTTTTGTAACTTCTCCAGGGCAGCTTACGTTGGTAAAAATAGAGCCCAGATTTGAATCTGAAGGCCTGTCTCCACATCTGCTTTTCTTCTTCAAAGATTCAGCTTGGAAAGAATAAGCTTTTTGACATGGTCAGTAATATATGAACATGTATATGTGTGTCCATATTACACTCTTCTGTGGGCACATAGACATACATTGAAACAACTGAAAACTTCATTAAAAAAAATCCTATTAATTGAGCATTTATTCCTTCTTTCCAGAAGAGTAGAAATGGCTTTTTGTTCTGCCATATGTATCCCCTAGCAAAACAAATTCACTCACCAAGTTGTATCATTTGATAATTTCATTTGTGTTAGGATTATTTTTTTTCCTTTCACGTTTGTCTGATTAGCTCTAGATATTAATCTTTAATATTTGTTGGGGCAGTCTTCTTAGAGGCTACTGTATGACAGATATCAGGTAGTGACTCAAGTGTCAGGATTCTAAATTTAAAAATTTTAACTCCACCAAAATATGCTGCATAAGCTACCTATTTTTCCTTTCCTCCAGCTTTCTTCACACCTCTTCCTATAAACATTCCTTTATCTTTCCCCTTGCAGAATCTCTGGATATTAAACAGGAAGTGGGTCAAGTGATAATGGAACAAGTATTTGCTTTAATGGTATTTAAAAAGCTTAACTTTATTAATACCTTTAATAAAGGGTATTAACGGGTTTAACTTTCAGATGTTTGGGGGTTTTCCTTATTGTTTAATTAATTACTTAATTAATTAATTGTAAGTTTATTTATTTTGAGAGAGAGAGAGAGAGAGCATGAGCAGGGCAGGGGGCAGAGAGAGGAAGGAGAGAGAATCCCAAGCAGGCTCTGCACTGTCAGAGTGGAGCCTAGTGCGGGGCTTGATCTCACGAATCATGAGATCACGACCTGAGCAGAAACCAAGAGTTGGACACTTAACCAACTGAGCCACCTAGCCACCCCTCGGGTTTGTTTTAGACACGTTCTCTTAAAAGAAACTTCCATGGTATCTAGGTTAGTCAAATAAGCTCTTCTTTAACCATGAAGTTGATTATCTAAAACTTTGCCATTGCTGGGGTATTATACACATTTAGCAAACTTTTTTTTTCCCTTCAATATATTTTGGTTTAAATTCTCAAGGTAGTTATAATGCTGTGAGAAAAAGGCAACTAAAATAATGGGGAATAACCACAAATATAAATGCTCTACTCTAAAAATTAAAAGGCTAAAAGGTGTTGAAATTGCAATTTCTGAAGTTATTAATCATTTTGACAGTCAATCATGATCATCTTGAGTGAAATCTGACGTTCTAGAATGTGGTATCACTTTGAATTGTGGCAGAAGTAAATTTAGTACAAATAAATTTGAGTGAAGAGATGTTTTAGTTAGAAATATGTTTGGTTGTGAGTAACAGAGAACTGAAAATAACAGTGGCTTAAGCAAGATAAGAGTTTATTTCTCTCTCAAGAGAACAGAGGTAGCCAGCTCAAGGCTAGTATGGTGGTTCCACAATCATCAGGGCCAAGGCTCTTTTTTACTTGTAGTTCTGTCATTCTTAACATAGCACCTCATGGACCAATATAGCTTCTCAAGCTCTAGCCATCACCTCTGCCTTGCAGTCAGCAGAAAGGTTCCATTTCTGTGGTTCCATTTCTAATGAAGAAAAGGAGAGTAAATATTGGGGGATAACTAGCATTCTAAAACATTTGTGATGGCCGGGACGCCTGGGTGGCTCAGTTGGTTAAGCGTCCAACTTCGGCTCAGGTCAGCCCATGTTGGGCTCTGTGCTGACAGCTCAGAGCCTGAAGCCTGCTTCAGGATTCTGTGTCTCCCTGTCTCTCTGCCCTTCCCGTGTTCGTGTTTTGTCTCCCTTTCTCTCTCAAAAATAAACATTTAAAAAAAAAATTAAAACATTTGTGATGGCCAAAAATATAAAGAGTAACAAATGAACAAGAAAGAAATACAGCTAGTCATATATGAGCTATGGGAGTGAATTGGTAAGGGGAAGTATGGATTAATCATAAATATGCCTTTACTGGGGTAAAAGAAATTATGTCAGACTAACTTTTAATGTCTAATCCAGAATTCTTATGTTTGTTCAGTGGCATTGCCAAAGCATGGAACCAGGCATATTTTGGGGAAGGCTCTGGTCCAATAATGTTGGATGAGGTACGCTGTACTGGGAATGAGCTTTCTATTGAACAATGTCCAAAGAGTTCCTGGGGAGAGCATAACTGTGACCATAAAGAAGATGCTGGAGTGTCATGTACCCCTCTGACAGGTAAGAATTGCACCCCATTAATCTACCAACTCTTGCCCGCACCACCATCTGGGCTTACCTTTTTTTCTCTTCAATTTAAGATAATATAAATGAGCATGCAAATAAATCCTACAAATAAAACTAAAAAACAAAAACAAAAACAAAAACCCAAATGAACACAAGCTGTGTATTAAAATGGTATGTTCTTATCCATAAATATTTCTGAATTTGTCACCCTGAAGCTATACAGTCCTAAAAATACAATTTTGTTGCAATATATAATGAAATAAATCCAATAATCAAAATCAGTGTGCAATGATAAATTTCATATACTAGGTATATATTTAGTTCCTTTATCTATTGACCTGCCTTGTCTCAGAATACGTTCCTAACTGGTGAAACCATATTGATGGGATTGTGGGGTAAAGCACACTAGTAAAGGAACCAACTTAACTTGCCGGCGCTCACTTCTCCAACTGTTCCAAATCTCAGCATGCTGGTCAGGATGTGTTATAAGAAGGGCATGTCTGAGTACAAATAAGTGCGTTTGCATATGTACTTACATGTTTTGTGGGAAGAAGGGGGAAAGGGACAGACAAGAAGTTGGGTCATCACAAATCCATTGTTTCTATGGTAAAAAGAACTTGAAGAAAATAAGTGGGGTTTGTAATCTTTCTTTAAAAAATGAAAATAAAAACTTTGGAGGGCCCATGAAATGCTGAAGTTATACCTTTTTATTTATATATTTCTATACATGCTGTTGTTTTTATTAGCAGAATAACATGTTTATATACAATAGAAATATAAAATTTATACCAGATTTTAAGCCAGAGAACATCATCTTTTTGGGTCTCCATTTCCTCCTCTTTCAAATGAGTGTAATTTTGTAGTGTTACTGTGATGGTCAAATGAGGTAAAATGTGTAGCAGTGTTTTGCAGACTGTAAAGTATTACATTAATAAGTGATTGTGTTGCTAAGAGACCATTTACTTTTCAGATCCCAGAGATTCATGAAAAGTATCACCTTTACCCAGGATTATTTATATGTTTCATTTGGGGATGTTTGGATTATCTTGCATGGAAATGGCTTTTAAATCTACTTTTGGGGGGATAAATGTATTATATATCTGCTACGCAGCTCTTAACAGGGTTTTCTGGGAATTAATTATTCATTGAACTCATAAGCTTCAAATTCAGATCTGTATTATCAATAAAAGAACACAAGTGAGACGTGTACCCCAGTTTTTATAATTTATGAATGCCTAAGGAATAATAAATGCATTGACACGATAGACCACACTTTAACCAGAATAGCTTTTTCTGTCTTTGTATTTCAGTACTTTTTTCATTTGCGGTTAAAATTTTGAACCATTTCCAAGTTTCGATGTTTTCTTATTTTTTTAGTTTAAATGACTAATTTTCTCATACTTCTGGAGATTGAAGCTATAGGAAATTTCCCAAATATTATTTAATCTGGAGAAATCTAAATAACTAGTTTGGAATTATATCAGAGTATATTTTTCTGATCAGAAATTAGAAGTGCAAATAAGGAGAAAAGAATATTTTGTTAGGACAAATATATGTTATGTCATACTTCAGAAACAGTCCAATGACAGATCACTGAGCAGTCTTGAAATAAGTTAAACAAAAGGCCTAGAGAGAGAGGTGATAATTTTAGTGAAATTAAAATGTTGTTCCTTTTTTGATAAGTGGTTTGCTCAGTCTCTGTGTCTCCTTCTTACCACAGATGGGGTCATCAGACTTGGAGGTGGTAAAGGCAGCCATGAGGGTCGCCTGGAGGTGTATTATAGGGGACGGTGGGGGACTGTCTGCGATGATGGCTGGACTGAGCTGAATACATATGTGGTTTGCCGACAACTGGGATTTAAGTAAGGTCCATTGATATGATGCAGCTCAATGCAAGTTATATTTTTTAAATCCTCATTTTACAATCCTTACTTATAATTTCTATCATACTAACAGTGCATGTTCTCTATCATCTGTCTACCTACCTACCTGCCTATTCACCTATCTATATATGGAGTAACTATAAAAAATAAAAATTAAAAAAAAAATAACATTTTCTGTGATGACAAATAACCATGTCTTGTTTTTATCTCATTACCTTTCCTGTCACCACCCCTCTTCTTGAGTAATTGATTGGAGCCATCGGTGACTTTTTAGGTTTTCTTTGTGTCCATTCAAGTAAGACTGTATGCTTTGAATGCTGGATTTTCTTCTGACGCATCACTGCTATTAGATGTTCTTAGTTCTGACATCATTGTGTCTAAAATTGCAGGCAAACCCAGTGTCAATCCCTTGCTTAAATGTGATGATAATTATCACTTTTATTTGAGAAAAACAGCCTTCTTGTCATGAGATGACCTTTAGAACTCACCCTTGACCTTACTCTCTTAAAAGCTAGTATCACACTTTGGGCAATATATTTCATGTCACACACATAATGCATTCCAGAGTAAAGATTTCAGTTGGTCTGCAAATGATGCCTTTTAGCTAATATTTGAATGAAGCCTATGAATGCCCATTCTTTCTTGTTTTTCATATTTCTGGGTCATGCTTGAATTAATTCTCAGGCTTGGAAAAATTGGCAAAATTATTTCATGCTTCAGACAGAGCTAATTGCATATACTCATTAAACCTTAAAAATATACTTTCATGCAAGCTAGGTATGATCGTGTTTAAACATATTTTTTAAATTTGTCAAAGTAATGTAAAATATTAGATTTTAGAAAATAAAAATTAAAAACTACCCCTAATTTTTCCATTCTTAAACCATTATTATTATAATTTGTGTGTATAATTTTATAACAACTTTAATAGTATCCATTTTCTATCCATATTTCTTACCTTAATAGTACTACAGTCATAATTTTTAATGATAACATAATGTCCATTGAATATTCATGTCATAATTTACTTAATATTTAGGTTACTTTAATTTTTCCTGTTATAACTAATGATATCATGAAGATATAAATACATATTATTGCCCAATATTTTGAATTTTCATGGACAGTGCAGTTATAATTATTGGGTTGAGGGGTATGATGTACAAACCAAATAAATATTAATGCTTAATTAATAAGAATTATTTAATAAATACTATTTCATCTTTAAGTGAATGTTAGACCTGAGAACTGCATTCTATTTTCACAGATTTAGAAAGATTCATAAATATTATTAGTCACTATCTTCATATTTTTCCTTATTAATAAAAACAACAGAATGAGACTTAGTGTTTCTACTTTATTAATTTTGTTTTACAAATATATTCAATTTTTCTTGTATATACAGAGAATCAGAATTTAATGGTTTAAAAAGTATTCTCACTAATATTTGTTAACAGTTCTATAAGATTGTGTTGGAAGGTAAAATAGGCATGTACCACATGTACTTTTGGTTTACAGGAGAATTTCTAAAGCAGAATACCATTTTGGGATGAGGAATGGGTGCACTCTAAGTTTCTTTGCACAAATAAAATGCCAAAGTAAAATGACGTCTTGTCATCTGTTCTATAGTTGATATGGACAGACAGTAATCAGAATGATGCATTATTTGGATAAATGGTATAAGTTGAAAGTGATTATGATATTATGAGATTTAGGATAATTTTTTTTCTAGCTCAGATTTGATTAGTCAGCAAAATAGGGGAAATCTTAGAATAATTAATTAAAAGCTGCACTGTTTTAACCTATTAAAATGTTCATCTTCTTAGATAAATGTATCAAATATGTGCAAAGGAAAATAATTGGGAAACTTCATGCCAGAAAGATCTCTTTATATTCTTTGTACAGAAATAATGAAAGCATTCATTGAGGGAAGTGATTGACATAAAATTTTAAGAGTAAGAGTTTAATTACATAGACTCTTAGGCCTGAAAGGCACCTTAAATTGTTTTTAGCTCAGTGATTTCTGGAGATTTGGATTTTACAGAACAAAGAAAGTAAAATTGGTGAAGGATGAATGACTTAGTTACCAATTTTTTTTTTTTTTTGCAGATTTTACCTAGTTCTATAATGTATATATTTATTATAAATTTTTGTAGTGCATTGTTATAATTAAGGTCAATTGGAACACAAAGATAATTTCTAAAAAAATTAAAAATCAGATTTATGTAACCTTATGAAAAACTAAGAACATTGCTATTATTCGATTTTTATGGCCGAAATCCAAGCAAGTCTCATGATGGAGTGGGTGTAGTGTTTGAGGAATCACTGAACTAATATACACAGTTTTATTTTGGAAGGGATGATACCAAAGAGGTCTAGAGAAGGTGATGAAATCAGGTGGCTCTTCAGAGCTGAAACAAGACAACTGTTCTGGTTTTATGGTTCATGATATTATTTCCATTGTCAGAAATTGGAGTTCTATCTTGTTTTGCATTCTCTTTCATGAGTTAATTATCCATTAGGTACCTGTTGAATCAATCAAAAATTTTCATGATCAAAATGTGTGCTGGAGTGAACACTGCTCTAAGAACTGTGTCCTTAAGATAGGAGAAAGAACAAATATCCTCCAGAGTCGTGATGCTTAATTAGGTTGTTTGTTTTTATGTTTTGTGGTTCCTTGACACAAGAGACAGCAGTTCCATGCACAGCGTTTATTTTATTGCCACAGATATGGCAAACAAGCCTCTGCAAACCACTTTGAAGAAAGCACAGGGCCCATATGGTTGGATGATGTCAGCTGCTCCGGAAAGGAAACAAGTTTCACTCAGTGTTCCCGGAGGCAGTGGGGAAAGCATGACTGCAGCCATCGGGAAGATGTTGGTATCACCTGCTACCCTGGTGGCAATGGACACAGACTATCACTGGGTGAGGATTGGCCACAGCTTTTGAGTATCCATAATTCAATAGCCCATGCACCTCTATCCACTGGTCCGGCATGTGAAACATTTCTCAGCTTTGGCTTTTTTAAGTCAGTTTTCTAATAATGCTCTAAATCAACTTTTGAGTCTCTCCACCAATGTTATAAAATTTTTGCTCCTAAAGTTACTGTTCTTTACCTAGAAGCTTACATTTCTCACTAAAAATCTTTATAGTCACATGGATCTGAAATATTGAGTGAAGAAGCTATAATGTCTGTTGCCCTATTCATCGGTCCCCTATTCTGATTCTCATTCACCTTGAATTCTAAGGAAAAATTGGGGACAGGATTTTAAAAAATCGGAACAAAACAATAGCTCTCTCTCCTATGATTTATTTCTTCTTTAGGTCCAAGGCCTTGTCAGTCATTGGTCACCAGCCATTCATTGCTGTGTCCTAACCTAGATCTTTCAAATTTCTCAGTGGGTTCCTAAGTGGATTCACTGGAGAAAATAGTCAATCCATCTTTTTAAGGTACCCTGTTACTCTAAAAACCCATCAGTGTCTTATACTGTTCCCCAGTTCCAAATTTCTCTAGACTTCTGATTGGATAAAAGGTAAGTAGCTCATCTAATAGTCTGGAAATATTTATGGATAAAGATCCTTTTGTGAGCAGAGAGCACGTACATGTCCTTGACAGATTTAATTAACATCTGACTATTCTTAACATCTTAACATCTTTTGAGGATGGCAGAATAAATATGAATGGATAAGACACAAGGAGATATTAAAAAGACTTGTCAAGACACTACCATGGCTCTATTATATATCCAAACACATATTTTTTGGTGAATAGATGTTAAAATAATCCCAAGTGGTCTTTACTTTTCACCTCAGAGTTGAATCAACCCCTTTTGTATCCTTCTGTTTTGAGACTGTGAAGCTTAAATCTTCACATTATAAAATAACATAACTTGTTGAATCTCACAGTATTAACTGTATTGTATATTTAAGTTTGTCAAAGTACATAGTTGATTCCTCCTTGTACTCTAAACTGTGAGAACTCACTGCACTAATCTAGCATTATATCAAGTAGAAATACAATATTTTACTCTATCCCTTACAAGCCATACTTCCAACTTTGCTTTTCATTTGTCCTCTTCTCTTAATCCTTTCTTCTTCTGGGGGATTGTAATCCTCCCAGGATTATGTGATGAAAGATTGTATGTGGTTGGGGAGATAGAACCTATTTGCTAAAGGGGTGCCTGGGTGGCTCAGTCGGTTGAATGTCCAACTTCAGCTCAGGTCATGATATCAGGATTTGTGGGTTCAGGCTTTGTGCTGACAGTGGAAAGCACAGCGGAGCATGCTCTGGATTCTCTGTCTCCCTCTCTGACCCTCCCCTGCTTGTGTGCTCTCTCAAAAAAATAAACATAAAATTTTTTTTAATTAAAAAAAAAACAAAAACGTTTGCTAGAAATGTATACCCTTAGCCCTAGATAGTAGGTATTTCGATCATGGAGTGATATATTCAGGCACGTTATTCATCAGTATTCCAGGCGATGAACTACTATAAATATTATACAAAATATGATAATCTGAGTTATCTGAAGGACCGTGTGGTTAAATACATGCATATGGTTAGGCAACTAATCTCTTCAGTTACCCTGAAAATCTTTAATTCTAGGATTCTAGACATATTTTTTAAAAATTTAAAAAGCTGAGGATGATAATTATTAATAAAATATGTGATCATTATTGTAAATGTCTTGAGTCCTAATTTCAGTAATACATTTATTAACTATTCATTTGTCTGAAGAGCATTATGTCTGAGCCAAATATACTTTTAGAATAGAATCATATTACCATTTATCCATCCAAAGAGATTATTATTTTCCCACTTATCAAAAAGGACTACATATTTAAAACAGAAGCTTAGAGAAGGAAATCATGGAATAGTGATATACAAAGCAGCATTTTTAAAAGCAATTGAGATTTTTTTACTCCTTTGACACTGTAATAATGAGCTGTTGGACTATTACTGTTTTCAAGTATTTAAAGGATAACTTGTGTACCTTAACTCTGAAAGTGAATGAAAGTGTTCTCAAAATTAATACTTGTCCAGTAGACATGTAGGTGGAATGCTGAAAAGTAATATTCTAATTCAATAAAAGTAATTCCAATAAGAATGTAGTTAATACTTATGGGAATTGGGGGAAATATGCAGAATGGTAAATATATGGATTTCTCATTTTAATATTGCACTGATCATTTTTTTAAGTTTTATTTACTTAAGTAATCCCTACACACAATGTGGGGCTCGAACTCATGATCCCAAAATCAAGAATCTCATACTCTTCTGACTGAGCTAACCAGGTGCCCCAATATTGCACCAATTCTGTATTTCAGAGTATTATATCCTAGAGAGATTTTATCCACAGTGAGCTGGTCTCTTACCTAATTTTACAATATAAAAATTTGACTTTTAACATAAGTTAAATTTTATCTTCTAGTAAAAATATTATTTTCTAAAAATAATGTATTATATCAATGTTACAGGAAAATTAAAACTTTTGGAGGTCCAAGTTTGAAATATATAATTAAATTATATATTAAAGATACTTAGATGCCCAGAGGACTATTTAGTTTTCCCGAGCACTTTATATTTAAGATTTTAGAAATAAAACATGTATATTATTGCTACCATAATGAAAAGAACTTAAACAGTAAGGTGGTGTTGATAGAATGGCTTTTGTCATCCAGTTTGCCCTTCAAGCATTGAAAATCCAATGATTTTGTAAAATGAAGGGCTAAAGTTAGGTTCAGAAATACTGCATGCATTATTTATTCAAAGCATGCAACTGAGGCTTTAAAAACACTTTCTCATTTTTATTTTTATGGTATATGAAAAACTGCCCATAAAATGACTAGAATGGAATGTGGAAATCTAATTCCATGTACATATGTTTACTTAATTTTGGACCAAACATCCCAAAATTTAAAAATTAAGAACTTTAAGAAAAGAACTTCACCTTTTTTGGATTTTTTTCTTTGAGGATCACTTTTCTACCTTATTCCTTTTAGAAAAAACTCCAAACTTTCAGATGCATTAATAAGAAATGTAATGTTTCAAATATACTGTGTTTTGTGACATGGCTAAAACCCCAGCATAAGCCATGCATAGGGTAGGCACTTCATAAACATTTGTTGATTTTGATTTTGCTATCTTGATTCTGCTATGATGCCCACCCCACGAAGTGAGTATGACAGGTACAGAAACCAAAGTGCCAACAACTCTGGGGATAAAACAAAGAAGGATGGAGAAATAAAAATGGATCAGAAGGATCAAAGTAGGGTATGTTCATCTTGCCAACAGTATTTTCTGTCAGTAAACAAAGGCCAATCTAGCAATGTCATATGTTGTTTTAAAGAGAAATGATATTTTTTCTTTAGCTGCTTACTTCGCCTCTTTAGCTCTAATCAGTTCCGCATGCTTCATGGTATTCCCTAAATCCGTACCAGTAAATCGTAGGGGCCCCGAAGCTGGAGACCCTTTCAGTAACTAGGTGATCTAAAGTGTATTGGTTTGCTTGGGCTGCTGTAACAAAGTACCATGCAGTGGATGGCTTAAACAACAGGTATGTGTTGTCTCACATTTCTGGGGTCCAAAATCCAGGTGTCATCAGGATTGATTGCTTCTCAGGGCTAAGAGGGAAGCTGTGTTCCAGGTTACTCTCCTTGTCTTATAGATGGCCATCTTTTCCCTGTGCCTCCTCAGAGTCTTCCCTCTGTGTATCTCACTATTCAAATCTGTCCTTTTTATAAGGACATCAGTCATACTGGATTAGGGCCCACCGTGACGACTTCACAGTTCAACCCATGACAGTATGCAAGGTGCAGTGAGGGTGCTTTCAATTAAATAGCACCATCTTTTTTTTTCAATATATGTAATTTATTGTCAAATTGGTTTCCATACAACACCCAGTACTCATCCCAAAAGGTGCCCTCCTCAATACCCATCACCCACCCTCCCCACCCCCCATCATCTCTCAGTTTGTTCTGTTTTTA